TTGATGTGCATGAAATTGTGCTATGATTGGGGTTGAAACAGATTCTGCATGTTTTTACAGTTGGAGGTTCCCAATAGAGTTTTGAGTTGCGAAGAGTGAAGTGTTGCTGCATAGCTGTTGCCATGTCAATTTCATTTTCGAAAGAGATTATAGCGAAACGTTGTCTGTTGTAGTGAATGGGAGAGCGAGGAATAAAGCAAGATTTGGCATGGATTTTTTGTAAAAAATCATCGAGCTCAAAGGCTATTGTTCCATAAAGAAGATTGAGGAGTTTGGTTATGTATGAATCTCTTTTTTCAATTGTTTTGAGTTGATTGATTATTGGAAGAATGCGTACACGATCAGTGCCTAGAAGAATAGATCATTTATTAATGACCAGTTCTGCTTGTTCTGGTAATTCGAATTGGACTTTGGTGTAAGCCCATTTGGATGTGATTTTTTGAGTTATATTGATGATTTTTCCGAATTTTTCCATAATATGTTGAATCTGGTCTTTTGATATTTCGAGAGGAACATCTCTTAATGCTGCAATTGTTGTTGGATCAATTGGATTGAGAGGTTGTGGTTTTTTGTCAGAGATGTAATTGTCGTTTACTGAGATGTCTAGAGCTGACTGAAGAGATTTGTCTGATGCAAATTCAGTACAAATATAATTTGTTTGGTCAAGAGAAAATGATTTGGCTCTTAAGAAGCCTGAATTGTGTTGAAAGATGCTGTTGATATACTTAATGTTGTCTTTAGTATTGTTTTCAGGAAGTGATGATTCTTTGATCCATCCTCTGAATCGTTTAGTGCTATGTATGGTGATCCATTGGTTATCAGCAGAATCGGGGGATAGAATATTTGGAGTTGTATTATGAGATGACGAGGTTGGATTAATTGTGTATTTATCATGTAACGTAGAAGAAAGAATATATGCGTTGTTAGATGAGGAAGGATTTGCTTCAAAATCAGCTGATTGAGATGAGGCTGTGAGTGCATTATCTACTTGAAGCGAGTTGTTTGTTTGTTTTGTGTTGACTGATTCCATTTCATCGATGTGTTCAGTTTTTGCTTTTTTGGTGCGATTAGCTTGTGATTGTGTGTTGTGGATTGTTTGCTGGGAAGATTGGAGATCGGATGAATTATCTGGTTTGCTAACAGGGGTTTGCTTGTCGGTATTATTTGAAGACGAGGAAGATAAACCTAAGAAATTTTGTACAGTAGTGTATATAGGTGAAGAAGAAGAAGAAGAGTTAGCAGTTTTTTTATTTTTGGTGTTGTTAGTAGACATAACGGTGAAGTGTTAGGAGGGAATATTATAAATATGTATATTTTTGTATGTTTTTGAGATTTTTTGTTATTTTTGTTTTTTATAGAATTTTAAAGAAAAAAGGAAATAGAAGAAGAAGAAGAAAAACGTAAAGTTTAAGTAATGTTAAGAATAGTAAAAAATAAAGATAAAAGATGAGTAAAGATTTTCTGTTAGTAGAATCTGTATATTGTATAATGACTTTATTGTGTTGAGAAGAAATTTTTGCACTTGGTAAAGTGTGGCTCTGCCTGGTCGAGAGATCGACAGGGAAGAGATGCAAAAAGAAGTTTTTTTATATTATTTTATTATTATTATTATTATTATTATTATCATTATTATTATTAAAAGATATTGTAGATTTTCTTAGTATAGATATATTCTAAGTTTATATTCTAATTAAAAATAAGTTAAATAAATTAATATAATTAAAGTAATTATATGCAAGATATTAATTATAAAGAAATATAATTAGATTTTAAGTTTTATTAATTTTGATACAATAACTTTATAAAACAAGTTATTTTTGCTAGTTATATTTTGATTAATTGATGCTTTTTCTTTAAAATAAAAGTATTTCTTTATATATAAAATTTTATACTTAATATATTATTTTGATTATTAATAACTTATTATTATAGCTTTTAAAACTTATAATAATAACTAATAATATATTATAATTATAACTAATATATTATATTTACTAATAACATATTATATTTACTAATAATATATAATTTATAGTCTTATATATTTATATAAATTATATAGATTATGTAGGTTATGCAAATTATGCAAATTATAAAAATTATAAAATTAATTAAATTAATAATAAATAATAAATCACATATAAAACCACATATACAAATCATATATAAAAATTACATATTGAAATCACATATTATATATAAAAATTATATGATTTCAAATTTATTCAGTTCAATAAGAATATAATAAATTAAATAATTAAATAATAAATAATTAAATTAAATAAATTTAATTATTAAAAATATTAAATATAATAAAAGTAATTAATTATCAATAAAATAAATATATTTTACTTGTAATAATACTTTAAATAATTATTTTAAATAATTATTTTAAATATTCTGAATAATTATTTCAAATGATCATTTTATAATTATTAAATACTTATTAATAAAGTATGTATCTTAACTTTAAAAAATAACAAAGTTTGAAGTAGTTTTAGTTTTATATTTTTTTAATAATTTTTTTAAATGATATTTTTATAATCTCTTATCTTAATTATGAAGTTATTTTTGTTATTTAATTTATAATTTCTTATTTATATTACAAAGTTATTCTTCTTATAATATTTATATTTGATTTTTTGTCTATATTGCAAAATTAATAATATATATATTTAAATTAATAAAAAAATTATATTTTACTTGTTTATAAATTAACTTTAAAAAAATACTTAACTATTTATAAACTGAATTAAAAAAATCTATAATTATCTTTAAATATTTTTGATCTTATTTTAGCTACTCAACAAAACAAATATACATTATTTATCTTTAGATAATTTAGTATTCTCTCTTACTTTAAATGTTATTTACATAAACTCTTTTACCTAACTTAACTTCATGTAACTTTACATATTTTCTTATATATTCCTATGACAAAATATAAAATAGTAACAATGTGATTAATAATTCCATATAATTATTAATAATATAATATAATTATAAATAATATATAAATTTGAATAAACAACAACTTTTCTCTAGTATTGTTGTATTAATTGTTATTTTATTATTTATTTTTATAGATATTTTATGAGTTTATAAGTCTAATTTCTGGCAAAATAAATTTCATTTTGTTATTTAATAATTTGTTACTTCTATTAATTATAACTGATAAGAAATTTTGACTAGTTATTATTTATTAATTACTTCTTAAATATTAAAAGTTGATCATCAATTTGTTCTAATTTTGTATTTTTCTGATTTGCTGCTTCTGTTAGTTACAACTAATGAGAAATTTTACTTTTTTTTGGTTAATTATTATTTATTACTTTCTACTTTTTTGGTATTGAAAATTAATTATTGCAGATTTGACAATATTTAATTTTTTTATAATTACTATATTTTAAAAATAAATTTTTAACTAAAAAAATTTAATAATAATAAATATTTGCTTGTATTTTTTATATTTATTTAATTATAATAATTATTATATATAATAAATTTAATATCAAAATCTTAATTTTAATTCTAATTCAAATTCTAATTAGCCAATTGAAATATTATAATTACAAATAATAATTTATATATTTAATTATTGTTTTATTTAAATATAATATGTATAATTAAATTATTAAGTTAATATCAAAAATTATATATATATATTAATTAATAGAATTATAGAATTATATATATAATTTTATTAATAAAACATAATAAAAATTGAATTTTTGTTTTATATAAAAGTTTTTAATTTTATTAATAAATATTTTTTATTTTATATTAAAACAAAATTATAAGTTATAATTTAACAAAATTTCTAATAAAGTTATTTTAATTGCAAAAATTTTTTATAATTAAAATGTAAAATTAATTATAAAAAATTTTTGCAATAATTTTGCAATTAAAACAACTTTCTCAGAAAAAATATCCAGAAAAAATATATATTAAAATATAACTTATAATCTTTGTTTTAATATAAAATAAAAATATTTATTATTAAAATTAAAAACTTTTATATAAAACAAAAATTTCAATTTTTATTATGTTTTATTAATAAAATTGCACGTGTGATTCCATAATTCTGTTAGTCACTATATTTATATAATTTTATTTTTATAATCAATTTATTGAATCCAATAATAATTTCTTATATATATAAATTTTATTATAACTAGTTTTTGAAAAGAATATAATTATAATAAATTTTTAATAATGTGATATAAAGAAAATGATCATAATGTAATTATAAAGAGAGTAACTGTAACTTCAATTCAATTCAAAACAAAATATAATATAATAAATATATAAAATACAAAAATCATAAAGATTAGAATATTTAATAATTAATAAGAATTTAATTTTCAATTTTGATCATGCTTGTAATTTTTATTAATCGAAAATAGATTGTTTATTAAAAAGGAAGTTAGAGTTGAAATCTATATATAAATATATTAAAAAATAACAATCAAATATGAAAGTGTTTTAAATCTGCTATAAAAATTCGCTCAATTAAATTAATATTATAAAAAAAATTCCAATCTGCCTTCACCACACAAAAAAAAATCAAAATGAATATATATATGTTGTAAGTGGGAATGAGATTCGGAATTTACTTTAGAATTTTTCGGCCAACACTTGCTCTAACTCTAGTGGTAACTCTATCCTATTTGGACCGATTATATATCCATTCACGCCCACAAGTTAATGCAATGATGATTTCCAAAAATTATTTATTAATAAATAAATTAAGAAAAATCTTTTACATTTAATCAAGTAAAAAAAAAGAATAAGTTAACAAAATTGTTAATTACTTATTAAAAGAAGAAATTATAAAGAGAAACTGTGTATAGTGATGATAATGATGATTCTAATTAGGTAGATGCATAAAATGAATTCGAAAATGTACAAAGAAAAAAAGGTGATTCTATACGACAAATTTCTATGATTATGCAAATATCTATATATTATGATATAAGTGTGTGTCAAATCTAAAATATTTATGATTCTAAAGCATCATATGCAGCCTGATGCACAGTTTGTGCACGACCAGATGGGTCCTCGGGACATCCTAATAACAATAAAAAAATAATTTAATTCCCAATAATCTCATACAGAAAAAGAAATGTAAATTTAAATATGCACGCAAAACAAATACCCCAATCAGATCTAGGAATCCATCTCACAACACTAGTGGAACATGCTTCTTCCGGGAACCAACTTTCAAATTGTTCTCGATACCAATAGGCTTCTTTTGTTGTCGGGGTATCCATAGGCCATCGTTCTGCAGCGTTAGCAAACTGTTCATCAGTAATATGTTCTTCCGCGGCATCTCTTAGAGAGTCGATCCAGCTGTATCCGACACCATCGGAAAATTGTTCTTTTTGACGCCAGAGAATGTTGTCGGGGAGGTATGGACGAGAGTCACCAGTGGTGGAGACGTCAAAGGCTTTTCGGAGAATGTACTATTTTATAATCACAATAATTTATAGAGGGAAAGATAATTATTTAATAGCCCATATTTTAAGATCGAATAATTATTTTGTTCCAAATTTATATTTACTTTTTCCATTCTTCCTTCTTTGTACATTTTTTCTTCTGGATCGATGGTCATTGCAACATCAAGGAAATCTTTATCCAGGAAAGGGACACGTGCTTCAAGACCCCAAGCCATAGTCGACTTATTAGCTCGAAGACAGTCAGCAGTGTGAAGATTTTTGACTCGATTGATAGTTTCTTCGTGAAATTCGGTAGCATTAGGAGCAGCGTGGAAATAAAGATACCCTTAATTTCGAAAATACAAAAAAAAAGTTAACGAATGATTATTGTACCAAAATTTAATAAAATAAATAAATACCTCCTAAAATCTCATCACTACCCTCCCCGCTCAAAACCATCTTTACGCCCATTGCTTTGATTTTACGTGACAGCAAGTACATTGGAGTACTCGCTCTAATTGTCGTCACATCATAGGTTTCCAGATGGTAAATAATATCGTGCACGGCATCAAGACCTTCTTGAATGGTGAAAGTGTATTCGTGATGTTCGGTTTTAAGAAAGTCAGCAGCCCGACGTGCAGCGACCAAGTCAGGAGCACCTGGGAGACCAATTGAGAAAGAATGAAGTTTTGGCCAGTGTCTAGGTGCACCTTTAAAATTCAAATCAAAATTATATTTAAATTAAATATTATTAATTAAATAATAAATATTTATAATTCATCAATATTTACTTTCATCTATATCTTCATCTTCCGTGTTACCATTTAGGGTAGCAGACAATTTAAGCGACTCGCGAGTAGCAATAGAAGCAATTAAACTCGAATCAAGACCACCACTCAACAACACTCCATATGGCACTTCACCCATCAATCGTTTGCGCACCGCTTTCTCCAAAGCTTCTCGCAACACCTTATAATCGACCGGGTTCTTTGGTATTTCATCAGAGTTCCACCACGTCGGATTATAATATCTGGTAGTCTCACCCGTCTCCGAATCGTAAATATGACCAGGAGGAAACGCGATGATTTTATCACAGTCTTCGTTCAGCGCTTTCAATTCTGATGCAAAGTAGACGGTTCCTGGTAAACTTGATGACCAGCCTTGGTAGAGGGTGGTAATACCGATTGGATCACGTGCTGCGATGATTCTATTTCTTGTAGTATCGAGTAGAACGAAGGAGAACATCCCATCGAGATGGTTAACTACATCTTTGTCGATTTTTTCGTACTATAAGTGCAATTTCAATTTTTGAATAAAGAATTTATGAATTATATGAATGAAGTGCGACATAAATTAAATACTTACCAAATGAAGGATCACTTCACAATCAGAATGTGTCTTGAAACGAGCATTAGGGACTTTTTTCTCTAATAATTTGTGATTATAGATCTCTCCATTAACAGCCAAGATGATTGTCTCGTTTTCGTTTGTGAGAGGTTGAGCCCCACTATCTATAAAAGGAAAATAATCAAATTCTAGAGTTATCATCATTTATGTAATGAATAATAATATGAATACATACCAATACCCACAATAGCCAAACGTTCGTGACAAAGAATGTTATTGCCCGCGATTTTACAACCGCTCCAGTCTGGACCGCGATGTCTTAGTCTATTTAGATATTTGTTAGATTAAAGATATTTCGATAATAAAGAGCTTTCAAATGTGATAGTACTTTTTAGATAATTGTAATGCTCGTCGACGAAGCGTATTAATATCGCCTTGGTAGTTGTGCACCGCGAAGATTCCACACATTTCTACGAAATCGGTTAATATGTATTATTATAAAAAAGGGTTTTGCCTTAAATGCTTTTTATTTTTTTTGAACAATAGGACTTTGAAATAATGAATGTTGTCTTTTTATAGATGATAAATGGGTGGAAGATAGTCCAGTCAGTGTCTTCATAAATGTCACAAAGAAATTTGAGTTCTCTTATTTTGGAACAAGATAACAGATTGTTTGGATCATCTCAACATTAAGAAATCCGCGTGTTGTATAAATGTAGATTTTTATAATCAAATCAAAGGATCAATCTAACAAATGGAGGAAAAATTTACATGCAATCGCAAATGGGTGTAACGGGACATGCACGCATAAAAAATAACGATACTGGAAGCTATGATTGTTTATGGAACGGGGCATGCACATGCATCATGTAAGTTTCATATCTTTTACATTACATTATGCAATCAATGAAGCTATATAAGGATGTTTCGTTATTACGTATTTATTTAACTGATGGATGAAAATCATTGATAAATTTTCAATCCTGATTCATATAAGTGTTGGCCGTGGCCAGAGTTTTTTGTCGATGATCTAATTTGCCAAATGCCAATTTATTGATTTTATCAAACCTAATTGATCTTATATGAATAGAGATTTTGATCTTTAGAATTAACACGTGATTCGAGAAACATTCAACTTGCTTTAATGAGAATATGGTGCAAGCCACCTATTATCATGTCTTTTTAATTAGAAAATAAATCTAAAATTTAATCCGTTAGAACGATAGAATAAGCCTTTTTTGATTGTTCTAACGGATTAAATTTTAGATTTACTTCCTAATTAAGAAGGAAACTTGAAACACACAATTTATTGTTGTTGATAAAAGATGTTTTGCATCATACAACAAATCTTATCTTGTCATTTTCATTATGACTAATCTTAAAGAATTGTTACCTAAAGCATTAAATGAATTAATGAAATCAAAAATGCCGCTTTCTAAAACACGTAACCGAAGTCACTTCATATTCTCAATATTATCTCTGCTGTGACAATTTGCAAACCGGTTTCTTCGTTATTATCTAAGAGCGTTCAAAAAATATCGCTTCTCGTTCTGGTCACAACGCCAAATAGCTTCCAGTAAATTCAGGTTCATAGTTTATTAAAGAAGCTGTAACATTTGAACATCACTCATCGAATTTTTGGATATATTATTACCCTCGGAAGGTTGCAGTAGTATTACGAAACACTGTCTGTGATTCTCCGAGGGTAATATGTCTGCACCTTTAGTTGCCATTAAAAAAAACAATCGTCAATTTATTCTTTCGAATAATTCACTGATGACAATAGAGAATTCATAAATAGCAGAGCAAGTCTTCTTTACCTTGTATAAGACGCGAGAAATAGTACGCGTTTTTCTATTTAAACTATGCCAACAAAATTTCACGTGTATCTGATGGTGCGATTGAGTCATGTGAATAGTAAGTGACATCAATTACTAAACTTAAATGATGCGACGCATCAAGTAATTTGGAAGCTTCCAATTCTTATAGAAAATGTCATTTGAAGCTTTCTATCGCTATCTAGTTCACTATATTTGGTAATTTCGAAAGACCGTAAATGGCCATAGACCCCCCTATATTGTACTCGGTGCCTATTAACGGTCACAGAACATGTTTCTTCCAGTGTTACACTTATATGTTTCTTAGTAAAATGACGAAAAACAAAATTTTTCGTAATGTTACAAATCCACCTATTTCATGATATTAATTGAAATTAATTTTCAAGTTTGCTACCTTTTATTTATCTAATTATCATTGCTATAACTGAAAAGATCTTTGCGTAAAAGTAGTAAACTTTTCATTAATTTTAGACAATTGTACGTATATACTAGTCAAAGATCTACATTAACGGGTTAGTAGGATTAAAAGTAAGTTGAGACAGCTGTCACGCAAAAATGAGGACAAGTGTAATAATTATTGCTTTCCAAAAACAAGTTTTATTTCTTAGTTAATACGCTTTTACAATATTCTGAAAACTCTCAAAAGGATCTTAATATTAAAAATGGCAACCGTTTCTTTCTTCTGTTGGTATTGAAAATAGCGAACACTCATTCTTTAGAGCAAGGAGAGTCAGCAACAAGTATTGGTGATTCAGACTATATGGAATGTATCTAAAATTAAATAAATGAAATTCTCGAATATGATTTTCAGTGCAAAAGATACTGCCATATCTGATGAAGAAGATATAAACTGGGACGAAGTTGATTATAATTTTAATTCAGAAATGACATCTTTAGCAAATACAAATAGCGAAAAAGAGGAAGAATTAATAATTCCAAGTATTCATAAGAAAACTTGCCATTTAACAGCTTGTGTTATTATCAATCAGGATATTATGGATGGTAAAATTAAATGTTGTAATAAAACGAAGATTAGGTCAATTATTTGGCACATGGAAAATTAACGAGAAGACTAAAAATGCATTATATATGTTGGGTGTTTGCAAATTCCACTTTATCATAGATCAAAATAAGTTGCACAGTCCTAATGCAAAATGGGAATGGTCAGTTAATGAAAGTCTTGTAAAACATTTTTTAGCCAGAGGCAAAATTGTATTAAGTATTTATGGAAAATATGTAAATGAAATATTCAACTTCCCTGTAATATCCTACGAATTTATCTTGTATTTGATACAAACTTAATTATTGCTAAACAAATGAATGGGCACAATATTGTTACTGTTTTAATGAAGCTTTGAAATACTCAAGGGTATTTATGATATTTAAAAGAAAAACTCAAATGTCTTAATGATAATTTACAGTCTTAATAATACTTTATGACTTTAGACTGAATATAAGTTAAAGTATGATAAGTACTTATAAGAATCACTTAAAGATTGGTAACAGTTGTGTTCTTTTAACGCAATAACTGGACTGCTAAAAAGAGTTCTCAAAATCTCAATATCAAATATAATATATGTATTAAAAATATCTTTAAATCTTTAAAAATCAATATAAGATATGATATTTGTATTATCAGCAATACAAGATCGAAAATAAGTGTATGAATAATATATTATTAGCAATATAAAGTCAAAGGTAAGTTTATAAACAATATATTATTAGCAATACAATCTCAAAGACAGATTTATGAATTATAATAATAATTCCTTTATTTAATATAATGTTCAATAAACTTCATCACAACATGTTCAGAAGTTTAAGATAAAAATGATAACTTTTATAACACTCCTGGCAATCTTGCTTAAGTTACTATAATATATATTGATTCAAGATTTGTATAACTTCTTATAAAGCTATTATACAAAAAAATGAATACTTTGTCAAAAGGGTGTAGAGAGGAGTTTGCGCTTGACTACCTACTCTATATAAAGTGCAAACTATATTTTTTTGAACGATCAAAATTATGTTGTTACGATTAGAAATTCTTATAATTCCCATAAATCCTATAATTCCATAATTCCTATTAAATTGTTATAATTTTTATATTATTTATATATGTTTTATATATAAATTATTTGAATTATTCAATATTTGTTAATTTTATAATTTTTGATAAATAAGTTAAAAATGTAATATTAGTTAATGGAAAATATTTAATATAAATAAAGTGCAATTGAAGTCTTGAAAAAGGTATCAATTGATCAATACAAAAATCTAGCTAGTCAATGAACTGCTTCTTGTTTATTATTTAATGAACTTGTACATTAATTAATTTTATAATTATTAAATTATTATAATACTTATTTTATACACTACTGGACACTTAACCAAATTGCTATAGAATATCAGTACTATATTGCTATAGAACCGTTGTTATGACTGGAAATTTATATAATTTCTATAATTTCTATAACTTTTATAACTTTCATAATTTCTATAACTTTCATAATTTTTATAATTTATAACAATTACCATTATTTACAACAATTATCATCATTTATATAGTATCTATTATTTATTAACTTATATAATTAATTATAAATGTAATATTCATTAGTAGAAAATATTTATTATAAATAAAGTGCAATTGAAGCTTTGAAAAAGGCATCAATTGATCAATACAAAAATCTAGCTAGTCAATAAACTATTTCTTGTTTATTGTTAATGAAATTTGTATATTTAATTGATTAAAAATAATAACTTATTAAAATACTTGCATTTATTGCGCACTATTGAACAACCACCAAAGTTGCTATAGAATATCAGTACTGTATTACTATAGGACTGTTTCACACTAAGTAGACATAATATCTATTAGTAATAGTGAGAGTCTATCTATAAGATAGAAGAAAATGCACTGCGTGGCGATCCTGAAGTATACTAATTACGATAAGATTGAGTAACTGTAAAAATACTGTTGTTAGACATTGGTTGAACACCCACGTCACGATAACATCTACCAGGAGCCTGATCGTAATAGCATGAATTCAGGAAAGTTCTAAGTGTTTCTTTTGTTTTTCTTCCTGTTTTTTTTCAAAAGTCTGAAGATATATTGGAAGAACCAGTTGCTTTATTATTAGAAGCATCTCTTTTAAAGCTATTGCTAAATCCAGTTCTGATATTGTTACTGTTTTTGTTGGTTTATTAACTTTCAAGTATAGATTACATATTTTTCACATGTTTCAATTAAGTGGGAAAGTTATTAAAGATTTTTGTGTATTTAAAGTAATTAAAGTTGGAAAAGATTATTTTATTAAAGATAGGTAATAACGTATTTATTTTGTTAAACTGCTAAAATGAGTTCAGAAATCTTCTTTTAATTCAAATAATTTAATTATTAAGTAATTTTCTTTTATTGATTAACTTTTATTAAAATTATCTTCTTTTATTATAAATCTAAATAATATTAATTAACTTCATAGAGTAGTAACAAGAGGTTAATATTATAGATGACATCACTTATTACAGATGAGAGATTTTTTAAATAATAAAGAATACAAATAAGAAATAAAAGAGTAATTAATACTAAGGTTGCTTGCTGAAATCTCTTAGTGACCGCTGAAATTCTGTCAAAATTATAATAAACTATTAGTAAATAGCCTGCCAAAATTCTGATGAGTTTTGAAATCTGTCATAACCAAAATTATACTGAAATTCTAATTAACAATTAGTGTGTAATCTATTGAAATTATGATGATATTTTTCTGAAAGAATTTAGACAAGCATCCTTAATTAATGCTTAACTAAAAATCTCCAACTCAAAACTTATAATATAACTCACTTCTAAGAAGATTTTGTTAAAGAAAATTAAAAGATAAGAAGGTAAGAAGATTCTAATCAAGAAAATTATAATCTATAAGAAGATTAAGTATGAGAAGATTATTTTTCTAAGCTAAAATACATGTTGTATTTATACAAATTATTATTACTCAATCTTCAAATATTAAAGCTATTTTTGATTAATATTAAGGTTACAAAAAGCACTTGCTTAATGGTTGCACATCGCTCACTTACTTGATGATTATACATCACTTGCTCTAATGTTACATAAATTTTACTATTAATATTAATCAAATTTGGTTATGTAAATTGATTAACACATGCTTTTTATACTAATAATAATAATATGAATTAAATATGATTAATATGAATTATAAATAATATAGAATAAGGTAATATAAAAATAAAATAAAATAGAATGAAATAATATAAATATAGAATGAAATAATATGAAAATAGAATGAAATAGTATAAAATAAAATAATAATAGTATGAAATATAATAAAAATAGAATGAAATATTATAAAAATAGTATGAAATAAATATGGATAATATAAAATATAATTTATAAATCAATTATCTAATGAAAATTAACTATAAAAAGTCATGTGATATGCTAGAATTCATATCACAACAATATATAAAAAATTACAATTTATTAAAAAAAATCAATTTCACTCATTAATATAATTGATTTCTTCTACATTATAATAATTATTTTCACTAACAATTTCTTATTTATTAATCTTATTATTTTCTACTAATATTAAATCAATCAATTTACTAATATCTTCACTTTCAATATTAGAATTAAAATTTGAACTCTCATCAATATTATTAATAGATTTCTCATTTTTATATATATGATTGCATGAATTTATTCATTAATCAATTTGATCATAATCAAAAATCATATAATCTTCTTTACTATTATGACTATTAAAAATATTACAACACTTGAAAGATTTGTGAATTAGAATTGGATTAATTTTGTACCATATATCAAGTACCTATTGGACAATAAGATTATATATAGGATACTAGATACAATCAGATTTGATATAAATCTGAATATCATTAACCATTCATTTATTATAAAAATATTATATTTATTAATAAATAATATTTAGTTATATATAATAAAATATATATAAATAAATTAAATTAAATATCTTAGATTTAAAAGACTTATTAATTGCAATATCCAATAGTTATAATTTAGAAATCAATTCTCCAGAAATTACAGCTAAATTTGTATTTTTTTTAATAAATCAGCATTTTACAGAATCTATAATATGTTTTTGAAATGAATTTAAAACTAAAAGTAAATATTTTTATAGTTCAGAATTATACTTGATTCCTTAATTTTTTAATTCTGATTATGTAACTAAATATAGATTATAGAGATAGCAGAGATAGCAAAGTTTTCAGATATATCAACATTATTTGTTATATTATATTTATTTTATATGTATAATATATTTCATATTATAATAACTTAATCATAAATTATTTTATATAAATAAAGAATCTTTTGGGTAAATCAAAAGACATCAATTGATTAATACAAAATCTAGCTAGTCAATAAACTGCTTCTTGTTTATTGTTAATAAAATTGTATATTAATTGATTTTATAATTATTAATTTTGTTATAATATTTACTTTATACACTACTGGATACTCAATCAGATTGCTATAGAAGATTAGTACTGTATTACTATAGAATCGTCACCACACTAAGTAAATATAAAGAAAGATATTTATTAATAGTAGTGTTACCTATTCTAAATTAATAGAATAGAAGAAGTCACACAGCATCACAATCCTAAAGCAATTGGATCACAACTATTAACTTACTGAAATAAATATTGATTGAACATCCACATCATGAAATTTTCTATCTGAGTTCAGGACTTGTGACAATGTGAATTTACTAATATTTGCAATCATTGATTTCATACATTTTCTATTCACCATAACATTTCATTTTCATTCATTCATCCAGTTAAATTTGCATGAATTATTACTTCTGAGAAAAAGGTTTGTCATGAAATATTGATCAACTTGAAGATAATAACAGGTGATAGTTTTGTTCTATCTGTCATACAGCCAAGTACAATTGTAAAATTGAATTTTTCATGACCACAAGTTCGGATTGAAACTGTATTAGTATCCTAATTATCAATTGTTGTATTAACAGGAAGATCAAATGATAAAGAAGTTTCATCCATATTGCCAATTAAGTTGAGAGGATAATTATATTGAATTCATCGATACAAAACAAAACTTAAAAATTCATGTTGTAATGGTTGTAGATTATCATGAAGTTTTTGAGCCATAGTAGTTTGACGGCAATTGGATAATTCATGGCGAGTCATAAATCCATCAATCCATTTACTGGAAAATTTGCTCTCAGTAATATCAGGATAAAGAATAAGGTAAGATGATCATTGTGATAGTGTCTTTGTTTTAATTTGAACCATAGATTATGTTACAGCTTTTTGTTGACTGCGCAATTCTTTTACCCAATTATAAATTTCCTTTTCTAATTCTGGATATTTTGATGGCTTTCCTGGATTCATTCGTCAAATATGAGGTGAAACACGCATTAACTGTTTTTTTTTGTCACGCCAGTCTCTTACTTGTTTTGGCTCAATATTGAAAGCAGTAGCCATTGCACAAATACTATTAGTCTGGTGTTTTTCAAGATAGATAATAACAGCAAGTTTTTCATGTGCATTCCATTGGCATCTTTTTTTATCAGTTAACCAAGCACGTTCATTGTTTTTATTTCCGCGTGGTATTTTTGGTTGTAGAGAAGAAGAATAAAAGATGAAAAGATGGAGATTTTTGAAGTCGCGTTTTGTATTTCCAGATCAATAAATTTATCATATTGTGTTCCAATATTAAACTCATTCCTTTTCTTCATCATCTTCCAACTCTATTTATAAACAAAAGAATAAACGTTATCCTAACACAAACGAAACATAAGAAAAAGCTATATTGAATCTCTCATACCTTCACCATAGAATTCCGGATAAGTTCGGAAACAAGATTGCATTTCTTTAAATGCTTCCAAACAGTCGGATCCTTTTGGCTCAACAGTTGAATATACAAAACAAGAGAATGCGGCTTTGAACTGTTCACCGCATGGACCATTAGTCATACCTCCAAGACAAGGACAATCCCAGTCTATTTCACCGGTATCAGGGTCAATGGGTCCGCCGACGCTTGTTTTTTCTTGGTCCGTAGTTTCATCTTTTGATTGTTCGGGTTTGTGTTCTTGGTTCGTAGTTTCATCTTTTGATTGTTCTGGTTTGTGTTCTCGGTTCGTAGTTTCATCTTTTGATTGTTCTGGTTTGTGTTCTTGGTCCGTAGTTTCATCTTTTGATCGTTCTTGTTTGTGTACTTGGTCCGTAGTTTCATCTTTTGGTTGTTCTTGTTCTTTTTTGTGTTCCTCGGACATTGGATAAACATAGATAGAGGTTCTAACAACCACAATTAATATTAGTCATTTATTTTCAAACAACTTGTAATGGTTTTTTTACACATAGATATATATAGTTTCTTTCTCAGCACTTTTGATCCCGTTAAATACATTTCCGATTTTCAATAAAAAAAGAACAATCACCTCAAACGCGTCGAAAAAAAACCTATGGGGAACGCGTCTTCAATAGAGAAAACAGGAGTGATCGTTACCTTAATAAAGACAACGAGCCTTCAATAGGGAAGAAAAACGATAGTAAAACCACCACTTCTTCAAAAACGAAAAGAAAGCGCGAAAAAGTCAAAGGTCGTTTGATGACTAATATTAAATTAACACTAAATTTTTAAAAGTGACTCACCAAATAAATAACACGTGGTAGATGTTCATTACGATAACATCTATGTTTATCCAATGTCCGAGACAAGACAGAGAAAATATCCCGAAAGGCAAGAAAAAAATATCACGAAAGATAACATTAATAATGTTGACAAACAAAATGTCGAAACTTTTGCAACCTCTCAACTTCAAAATATCCTTTCCACTTCTGTTAAGGGAGCCTCTTATTTAATTCTGCTTCAACTCTTAAGCAGGCTTCTCACCTTCATTTTGCATCAAATAGTTTTACGGTTTACGAACCCGAAAACATTTGGTATTGCAGCAGTGCAACTCGAGTTACTTTTGAACACAATACTGTTTTTGTCGAGAGAAGGCTTCCGATGTGCACTGCTCAGAGGTAGTGGCATTGAAAATGTGCAGAGACAGGAGAAACCACAAGAAACTAAAAATGAAGCTTTAAAATATTCAAAGCAATTTGACAATTTACCATTAGCAAATTCACAAAAAGGAAAAGCTCAAAAGATTATAAATCTGTCATTTATTCCTATACCATTCGGAATACTTACAACATCTCTTGCATGCCTGTTTTGCATTCACACCGCCTCCGATGAGACATTTAATTCGCCTTATTACGTGGAATCAGTCATACTTTATGGGTTAGCTGCGTTCCTAGAATTGACCATTGAACCGTTGTTTATTACCGCGACCAGTAATTTAATGTTCATGTTGCGTGTTCGAAGCGAGGGTATTGGAGTTATTGTACGTTGTGTTATCACGCTAGCGTTGACGATTTTAGGGGCGCAGCATGATAATAATACGGAAAATACGTATGGTATTTTGGCATTTGCATTTGCGCAGTTTGCTTATGCTTTGATTATTTTTTGTGGGTATATTGGATATTTTTACTGGAATTGGAATTGGAGTGAGTTGTGGCCTCGACCGGTGATTGTGATTCAAAATGGCAGGTAATTAAAATAGTTTTTGGCATTAAATTGATAAGCAAAGAATTTTATACTGTTTAATTCAAATAAATAGACAACAAAAAGTCTGGTTTGATCATGATCTTTCACGCCTTGCATATGTATTTACGGGACAATCATTTCTTAAGCATATATTGACAGAGGGTGATAAAATGCTAATAACTTGGCTGAGCACACCGAAGGATCAGGGTGTTTATGCATTTGTGGTAAATTATGGTGCGTAAGTTGCATATGCGTTTCGGAGTTTATGTAAAGTGTACTATTACTTAATCTATTTCCATTCTTTCAGGTTCTTTGGTTGTACGAATTCTATTCCAACCACTTGAAGAAACTGGCCGTACATTATTTTCCAAATTACTATCTAGCATACAACCACTTAAAAAAGATGATGTTGATGAAAAAGTAATAGAATCCGAAAAAGCTGAAATTCAAAAGGAGCTTTTATTGACATCACTCAAAATTCTCACGACTCTGATAAAATTACACATTCTGTTGGGTCTCTTATTCATCGCAATTGGCTCTAATTACACCGGAACTCTCATAGATATTCTAGTCGGGAAAAAATGGTCAACTGGCACATCTGCACCAATGGCACTTTCATTCTACTGTTTCTATGTGCCAATTATGGGCATAAACGGCATAACTGAGGCCTTTGTAGCCGCTGTCGCAACAAAAGAAACAATTTCTTTACTTAATTATTGGATGATTTTTTTCTCTATAGGATTTATTGGGGCTGGATTCGTGTTTATGAGGATTCTTTTGGCTGGTGCTGTTGGATTGATCGCGGCTAACGCGTTTAATCTGTTCATGCGTATTTTATGGAGTTGGCGCTTTATTCGTAGCTATTATTTGAGTAACGTTAATTTTGTTACTGCTGCTGAAGTTTCTCATCTTAAGAATGAAATAGATCATTTGTTATCGTTGTCTAATATGACACCTAGTTTTGTTGTTTGGTTGTCATTTGCTGTTGCGTGGTTTGGAACTTTTTGGTCAAATCAAGTTATTGGCTGGACTACGCTGGATGCAAAAATAAAACACATTGGAGTGGGAGGTCTATGTGGACTGTTTGTAACTACAATCACGTATCCTTTTTTTTATTTTCTTTGCAATTTACAAATCGGCAAAGAATCAAATTCGCCCTACTTTTTTTTCTTTGACTATGAATTTTTTATTATTGTTAATAGTTATTATCAAGAACGACAATTTCTCAGAGATGTCGTAAAACTTTTACGTGGAAGAAGAAAGCGTGAATAATAATAATGATAATAATAAATAAATAATAATAATAATAATAATGATAATAATAATAAACGAAACAATCAAAAAAAAAGAATTTTAATAATAATCGTATTAACACAAATATACATTTACAAAGACAGAAATCTCATCTGCTGGTAAAAACATCAGAAAAAGAGTAAGTAGTAGTCATAGTATTATTAGATGATTATTAACAATAAGAATAATAATGAATGTGATGTGCGCTGTCTGCTATGCAGCAGCTATTCTGCTTATCTATTAAACATATTTTTACTACACTTTACTATAAACAATAACAATAATAATGTAGAAAAGAAAAAAGAAAGACTAAATAAACACCAACTACGAATCCCTAATTATTTATTATCTACTTTTTCATCATCAAGAATCTACTAAACAATATATATATATAAAGAAAGAAAATTATTTCACAGAAAATAACAACCCAATTTTTTAGATAAATGAATGCTTATTATTTCTTTAAGCAATTTGATTCTCTCGTTTTTTTTGTTTTTTTTTTTTACTTTGCTCCTTGAGCAAAGGCAGGATTTGTTGCAATTGGTTTTGTTGCGGCGGAATTCATCTGCAAAAGTTCGGTGAAGAGATTTAGATGTCCTGATGGAGTGTTATTATTAGATTTTCCCGGACTTTCGCTTACATAGTCATCAAACGACAAAGAGATTGCAGGTGGCGTGTCGAATGAGTGCGAATTTGACGTACTATTATTATTATTATTATTATTATTATTATTATTATTATTATTATTATTATTATGATGTGGATCACTTAGAGGAGGATGAGCCGCTCTGGATGATGATGATGATGATGACGATGACGTTGATGATAATTTTGATTTGATATAAATCGGAGTGTGATTTTTCAATGGATTAGTAGCGATACCAGGAGTCAATTTCAAATGTTTAGGCGGAGTTAAGAAGTCAGTTTGTGGAAACGGCGGTTTTGGAGTTGGAGTTAATCTAACAAATTCACTTAATGAGAATCTCGAGTCAGGCGTTGAAGTGTCTATATTTGTACGAGGTGGTGGAGTAGTGAAACCTAAATGAGTTTCTGGTAGTGGGAAACGGCTTACAGGAGTTCGACCCGGCGATGTAGTAACAGGTGATGATGCGAAATAATATAATAATTCCGCAGCATGTTCATCAGTCGGAGTCTTGGGTTGTTGCGGAGGAGTACTGGGAAATTGTGTTGGTCCATGATCAACGATTCCCGTCAGATCTTGAATTTGACTAAAGTTATCGGATAACATTGGATCCCATCCACTCGAGAGTGTTGTTTGTTCTTCGGTAGGAACCAAAATTGGAAACTGACTTAATTCTGTTGCTGTTGTGCTATTTGTTCTCGTAGTCGTTGTCGTAGTCGTGGTTGATTGATCATTCACAAGTTCTGGTGCCAATGAATCCTCGTCAATTGATTTTTCTAATGATTTCATAGTTGGTAGGATATATTGATGCTTTGCTTTCTTTATATTCGATGTAAAGTCATCACTGTGTCTTCTTTTTTTAGGTTTTTTCGAATCTTTATCATTCGAGTCATCCGTCAAATCTATTATTCGCTCGAGACTCGAATCGTTAAGCAAAATCGGAGTAAAAGAATCGCCAAGTTTGCCTGGTGATTGCGGTTTCCCTTGGGTTATCTTTTCGCAGGTAGATCTATTATAATATTGCCAATTATGTCGTACTTTAAAACTAGCAAATGCAAGACGAGCCTTTAGATTTTTAGCAACCTATGCATACAGGATAAAATATGCCGATTAAGACACGTTAAAGTTCGATTTCGATCAAAAAAATACCTAAATAATTACACCCCGAATTATACTCTCCCCAGCTGACGATCACGCCTTAACACTTGCACTTTTCGAAATGCCGTCCCACAAAAACGCTGAAAACGGCTTACCTTTTTCCAGTCAGTTGTGTCTTGGGCAACTAACGGTTTCACGTCATCCAGACGAGCATCGGTTTTTTGAAACGGAACAGCGTTTTTTTTCGTGTTAACAATAATCTTTTCTCGGTTATTCTGCACGAGTTAAACCCACATTTCAACGGCTGAACGCGAAAAAACGCGGAAAAATAAAGTAACGTAAAATACCAGCGGGAAAAAATACCTTAATTTTTGTTGGGAGTACAAGAGTACTTTTTTTGACACTCTCCAAGTTCTCGGCGTGTTGATTGTCCATCATTTGGACAATTTTCCCTACGTATTTTTAGATGGGGGCTCGAAAAGTGCTCAGTTCAAGCGCGTGTTAACGAATCTCAATATGGCGCAGTTCAAGTGTGCAAAAAAGCTCTTTGTGTTCAGTATATAGTGCTCTATTTCGTAGTAGGTTTAAACTCTCACAAAAAAAGCTTATAATATGTTGAGGAAAGCGTTCAAAAGCAGTAGAACACAAAAATTTCAAAGAAAAGGATTGATAAAAGGATCGTTATGAGTGAAAAAGCTTTTATCTCAAAACTGCCAAGTGTGAGATTAAAAAGGAATATCTAACTGGCGACAATACTGAAGACGCGTAGGAATCAATCAGCTTATGGCACAGGGCACATGATCAGAAACTTCTACCTCCTCCAATTAGACGTATAATCACCCATGTGATCTTTTATATGCAGTTGTATATAAATAAGGTGGCCACCGTTTATTTGATTTTTATTTTATATTTTGATTTGTGGTGCATACAACTAGAGCAAAGCAATGGCACAAGATGAAAATCTAAAGTAAAGATCAAGAAATTTGTTTTATTTAAAGATTTTTCCGCATTTTCTATTTGACCAACTATTTCATTCTTCTCGACAGGCTTTTTTACATTGAGTGCTGTGCAGTTGTTATCTTGGTTTTATTTTTCTTGTTTTATTCTAATCGCGTCTTGGGATATGTATTGTCTCGAATAATACGATTATACTCGTGGCGAAAGTTACATGCATTCGTCGAAATTGGTACGAGTTATTTTGTACTAATTCGTTCAAAGAGTTTAAGGTTAAGGGTTGAGGTTAGAGTAGATAAAATTGATTTTTCAAATAATGTATCGAAAATACTAAAAAAAATTAATAATAATAAATATCATATTTCATCAACAATTCTAAATCAAACTGTTGCTCGTTTTAGAATCTCTGCAATTTGCTCCTCTTGCTGGTCGTGTTCTATTCAAAAATCTGAAATACCGCTCTAGGAACCAATCAATATTTATACTTAAAGGACACATAACCTGTCGATATTGGTTATGGAATGTCCGAAAAGATTATCATCAAACCAACCAAGATAATAATAACAATAATAACAATAGTAACAATAATAATAATATTAATAATAATAATGGTACATAAGATTAATTGTGAGATGTTTGTCCGTATCTTGTATTTCGTGATTGATTATTGACTATATTCGCATCTTAAAGGAAAACAGTTACCATGTCGGATTGTGTGCCAATTGGATGGTGTCGAATATTTTATATACAATAGAACATCGTCATATGATGCGTTAAAGGACTTACTTAATAAGCAACAACAGACTGAAACTTCCTCTTCTAATGATCATGACTCCTCAAGTGTAGTTGAGCGTGACGGAGAAGAAGCGACAGGTAAATAAAAGATTATTTGAGTCACCACTTTGTGTCATTATCAATACTTGACGAAAATTTCTTGATCATTATGAAAGAAGAATCGAGTGCAAACGAGGAAAACGATGCAATGGATTATCAGAATTCTTTTTTGCAACGAATACTGCCAATACAAATTGATTGTGAACGTGGAGCAATAATTGCTGGTAATGCTCATGTGCCATCAATTCTGGTGGCTGAATTTGTTCAGGCAAGCGGAATATATGCTGCTGTGAGGGTATGATGAAAAAAATTTATCTTGATTTATTCTTTTTATTATTGTTTACGTTTTAGTTGATTTTCATTCTTTTTGCGCAAAGATAGTCTCGCTCAAGACTTGATCTCTATAAATCTGTCTTTCGGATAAAATATTGTAACCCAAAAATTCATCTCAAAACGAATCTCGATTATCAAGAGCCGCTCTTAACTAGAGCAGCTCGACTAGGTCTAGCCACAGAAACATCCAGGCATATCATCTTTCTTTTGTTTTGGAATATGTTCTAATAGTACATAATTCATATTGGACTTTTTAATAGTGTAGGAAGAAAAAGCAGCGGATTTTTCTCAAAGATTCTTAAATATCTACCTTTTCTTTCCGACGGAAGAGAAAACGATATGACGGAATGGCATGGACTTCCTAGATATCCTTCTTATTTAATTAGTTATTATTGATCTACAAATCTTTATGAAAAGTTTTTATTTTATCCTTGACAATTAATCACACATATCGAACAGATAACCTTCCAACAATTCCGATACCAGATGCAGCTGACGAATATGCTAAAGTTCCTATCATACTAGATTGTGTAGAACTGGATATGAACTATTATGTAGATGTAGCAGGTATATATATGCGCATATACATATGCTCGGATTAAAGAATACTAAATTCATATATGATACCGGCTTTTTTTAGGCAAAGTTCCTCGGATACCAGTGCCAATTGACAATACGGAAGAATTAGAAATCGGAAATGGGGATTTAGCGCCCGAATGGGGCATCGACCTCTCTGTTAGTGGTGGGACAGTGAATTATGGTCCCTGGGCTGATCGCCAGAGGCATGCAGTCTAATTAATAACTTTTGCTTTGATAGAAATATTCAACCCTAAATTTTTATGTCCAATTTCTAATTTATTAGGGCTTTACTTCAGAATTTTTTCTTCCCGCCTTTATATCGATCGTCTGTAAAAACAAAACAACTTGAATCTGGACAAGAACGATTACACACAATGCTTAAATTTCTCGTTCAATTTGACACAGATACAACATTAAGGATTCTGACGAGAGAAACTTCAAAGGTTAATTAACTAATTAGACTGATTATTTTTTTGTAAACTCTCATCATTAACGCATTAATTCGGTCAACGTATCTTAGGACTGGATTTTTGCAAAAGACGATGACAGTGAAGATGACGCTCGGCCTGCTAATAATAATAGAGAACACGGTTGGCTAGAAACGACTGTTGGAGAATCTTCGACGATAAAACTATCGTTGCCAATGATTTTTGATGAGAACGGGTATACGAATAAGGTGGATATTCGATTCAGTCAAATCACGGTGCAAACAAGTGTCAATTATTCTAACCTACTTACAGCTGAGAATTGTAAGGTAATTAAAAATAACAAGCCAATTTAAAATTTTGTCCAGTTTCAAATTTACATATTGAGAAAATATTATTTATTATTTTAGATAAAATGTGACCTTCAAAATCCATTAAGATGGAACCAGGCTCGTCAATGGATATTCAACATTGATCTTGACAAACAAAAAATATTTTTGCTACGTGATCACATCACCTTATTTCAAGACTTAGCAAAAGATTGGACTTCCGGTCCATCGGTGGATCTTTTACATTTTATCCCAATGGAATATACCATCAATATCGGATCGAAGGATATCGAGTTGTATCTTTATGTGAATGAGCATAATATCATAGATGTTCCGGCAGATATTGATGATAATGGTTTGTATCATATTTTTTGTGATCAAAATTTTTGTTTTAATCCCTTGTTACTAATTCTTATTATTTGGATTTTGTACAGCTTTTTTCATTATCTGTAGTAAAAAACTGACGTCTACAGTGGTATTACCTTTTCTGAACTATGAACATGAAATAACAAAGATCCCATTCAATGTTGAGGTAATAATTATTTTACTATTTATTGAATCTTATTTAAGATAAAAATAAATAAATCTGATCGTGTAACCAGGTTACGCCGGGCTCAGTTTTAATGTCTCCACAAACATCTCAGTCACTTGGTGCATTCCTTGCGGAAAATGGCAAGGATTTTCTGGATTTGGATAATTTCAGTATCGAAGGCATTTACCAGTATTACAGTTTCGTTGATCCGAATCATATTGAATCGCTTTCGATGAAGATGTTTGTATGTACCATCATATATCTTTTTATTTTTTATATGAGCACGAATTTTCCTCCGTCTTCGAATTATCAAAAAATAACTTTCTCTTTTATCTCTCCAAATAGTTGAAGAAAGCCAAGCTGAAACTTTTTGGATTTGTTATTCGCTATGTTCTTAATCTCCAAGAAAACTACTTTGGAAATTATATAAATTTTACAACGCTAGAAGAGTACCGGCTACGACGAAATGGAAATGGCAAAACGCAGCAGGAATTAGATCAACAAAGGTTGGCCGCAAAGGTGATTATTCAATTGATTTATATAATTCGGCATTAATAAAAGTTTGCAATATGATTATTTTTGGCTTGTGTACATCACATCGCAAGATAATTTATTGTCATTTATCTCGCATAGCCTCTTGCTGATCCATTTGAAGTATACATTCAACTTTTCGTCGAGGACGGCACAATATGTCTGCCCGAGAACCTATACACTAGCGACAATGTGTCAACGATTCAGTTTCACGAACTGCAACTTGATTTGCGAAATATGGATCCTTATATGGGTAGAAAAAAATTATGGTTATTTATTTTTTTTACTTTCTTTCGTATATTTATTCGTTAAATTATATTTATTTTAGATATGGATCTTACCATTAGTCCATTAACATGGTCATTCAGTTCTGACTCTAATACACGAAGAAACACCATGAAATCCAAACCACTATCTTTTAGTGATAATTATTTATTTATTGACGGTGCGTATGTGCCATTGTTTACTTATCGTGAATACTCTTTTATCCAAGAGTAAATTTATAAATTGACTTTATGCTAATCAAAAGAACTGAATAATTGATTTCAGAACTCCACATTTACGCACATCGTCTATTCGGTCCATTGCCGGTACTAGCAACATATGTGTGCAATTGGGATATTAATATCGGTACAATTTCTGGACAGCTAAAACCGTCGTTTCTACTGAGTTTATTTTCATTTGGAAAATCTTTCGCGTACCATCTCGTTGATGATGAGAATGCTTTTCCGATGCAATATGTGGTTAAACTTGATCCGGATGTCACTTTTTTGAATGTTATTGTTAAAGAGGTTGATATCTCAATATGGGGACAAGATAGGTATGAGCATTGTAAAATAAATCATTTTTATCTTTCCTCACTAATTCATAAAATATAATTTATAAAAAAAGCGGCTCGCAATTTCTTCTCAAAGAAGGACTCCAAATCCAATTCGATGACCTCTCCAATGAAAAATTCACGCAAAAAGTTGTATTCAATATGCCTGATCTGGTGATCAGAAGTTTGGCATTATCTACCACCACCTCGGCAAATCCTGCATCAATGATGGATTATACTAATACTAATAATAATAACACTAATACCAATAGCAATGGCAATAAAGACACGGAAGATCATCCGTGGGTTGAGGTCGCGAGTTTTGAGTGTGCTTTTGATGTTACGCTGTATCGTACTACTTCTGGGTGGCGAAAACGCGTTCAGGAGCAGCAGGCGTTTCTTAAAGAGCAAGATCAAAAGACTTTACGCGTTCCATTTTTGTATGATGGAGCAACGGGAAATAGGGAGAATGGTATGTGTTAGTTAGAAATTATTAACGAATTTCGACTTTTCTATGATATGATAAAATTAAATTATCGATCTTCTTTTTGAACCTTTCATTATTTAATGTAATCAAAGCTGCTTCTGTTCGCTCGAGTTCTCATCACCTCGGCACACTCTATGTGCCACCCATGCCGCCTCCTTTACCAGGCATGATACAATTAAATACACTATAAATTTATTTTTTTCAGTCTAATCCTCATCAAGGTTATTTTTGTATATAGACGATACTGATGCAAATTCTCCATGGGATACCGAAAGCAGCCATTCTTCGGTAATAAACGACAATAATGGTACTGCAGCGTTTCATGCTCGGAAAAATATGATGGTGTTTGGAAAAATATATGATTTCTTGGGGCGAAATGAGAATTCTGATGAAGAGCAGGAACACTTGTTGCTTGTTGATGATGATTGGTATGTGTATGCATTTAAAAAATCTCGAAATAATTTAGCAAAGAAAATTATTTATTTATAATATTATGTTGATGCGAATCGCAATAAATAGTGCCTCCTTAAATGGATCAGGAATTAGCGTCTCAAACTCGTCATTTGTCACTGCATCAGATCGTGATCTCGACGAATTCTATCTTGAATCAGAAGATAGTGTTGACAGCGATGAAACATTCATTGACGATATTCGAAATGCAGAAATAAATATTGGTAGAGGTACTTAAACCAATGAATTTTTTTCTTTCCTGAAATTTTTATCATATATAAAAAACTGTTTGTTTATAATCAGATGCTGCTAGCGAAGATGAAGAATACCAAAAAAGTTCAGATTCGTCTTTACCGGAAACTACGGCGACCTTCCCTATCTCTCCTTCAATACCAAGATCAATTCCATATGGAAGTTCCCTAAGACGATACCGAATTAGTGCAAAAAAATATTTTGCTAATTTTTCGAGCTCTTATCTTCGCCCTTTTCGTGCGGAATTTGTGCCTGCACGGGTAATCAATAATAATTTCTTTGTGGTCGATTATGATCTTATTGTTTGTCCATAGGGGTTATTTTTTGATCCAAATTATTCGAAATTTTCTTAGGAAGTTGAACCATTATTAATCGACGAAGAAAATAGTCAAAGTTTCAAATCTTCACCGTTCTCAAAAAATAAAAGTGCTGCAACTGATGAATCACCAGAAGAAACTCTTTCTGATGATACTACTACTATGACACCAACATTATCAAACGAGGATAACGAAACAAAAATGACAATTGTTTTTGAGTCCACAAAATCTGTTAAAATTTTGTTGACACCCATCTTTTTGAAAATTGTTCAAGAAATTTTGGAAGCCGTGAAAAGTGAGGTAAGGCTCTTTACATGGGTTCACATATAAATTGTTGTACCTAAAATTTATATTTCATATTAATATTCTTTTTATTTTAGCATTGGAACCTTGAGTCTATGCTTGATTATATACAGGTCGATTATGTTGGAGACCTTACAAAATTATTTCCCTTCAAATACACAACAACTCAATTCGCAATATCGATACCACGTGTTCAGCTTCACTTCATCCAAGATGTAATGTTGCCCGATGATCTCACAAATGTGAGCGACGAATATGCAAGCATTAGAACAAGATACGACTTAACAGACACAGTACTTTGCGCAGCTGACATAGTATTCGAGCAAAGTTTAATTACGGGTTTAATGAAATTCGAAGACACGAGTTTTCATGTAAAGGACAAGAGTAAGAATTTCGAGCATACCTTAAAACTTGTGGATTCAAGAATGTGTCTAGATTTTGAGGCTTTGAAGCTCAATGTGCATTTTGTTGCTGGATCGAATCCTATTGGAATTTTTGGGATACCGCAAACATCGCACCATTTCAAAAATTCCAGTTTTAGTTCCGAACCTGTGTCAAATGAGCCAGTGGTGCTTGATATCTTTTTGGATCATGTAAAAGTGAAGTTGACGGGTAACACGCAACCAACTTATTTTTCACTAGATATGGGAAATTTCACCACAATTTTTATAAGCCAATCTGTCGAAATATTGACGGGCGCAATATATTCGTGGCTACTTTTTGCCGATGATCTTTCAATTATTCTAAATTCTTTTCAAAATAGGGCCAAAAAACAACTACAGAAATTAATATATGAAATTGCGCTTTTTTCAGATGAACGTCCTATTGAGAATGATCCTCCTTATTTAACACGATCATCAATTGTTCTTCGGCTGGGTGCCACGAATTTCAAGAATGATGACGGCTGGAAAATCCTCGTCCGTATTAGATACTGCAAACGATTCATGCCACCAGAATCCCTTGATCAATTACAAGCCACACTTACCTCTGGTGATCTATCAACCGTTGATCCAACACAAATGTTTAACAAAGTGCAGGAAGTTTTCTCGAAATGGCGACATTGGGAACTGGGAAATCTCTCAAATTCGCGTCTTTTTACAAAATTATTTGAACAATGTGTCAGTAATGAAGGCAGGGGTACATCAGATGTATTGACTGAAATTCAACAATTTCTCACTAGTTCCTCAAGATTTGTTCATATACGGATTAATTTGATTGCTGTCTCTAATATAGAGGAACAATGTCAAAATTCGGTGACTATTGGACCAATTGAAGTTGATTTTGAATGTCATTATCGTACTGATGGCATTCCTCCTTCTGAGTTCTATCAGGCTAATAATTCAGATTCGAGAAAAAGTAATGAAAGTAATGAAAATATAGTTGTGGGACAAGATGAAAAAAATGTGGTCCCCGCTGGCTATCTGAATGTCATATTCAGATTTAATTCGAAAAAGATTAATGTGAATGTGAATCCTGAAATGCTGGCATTCGCTAAACATTGTCTCAAAGTACAACGGGTATACACTTCAAAATTTAAATATCTTTCGCACAAGAATAAGAATAGCGTCTCAGTTTGTGTTGAGCCTGGTAGTAGTTCTTCATTAGGTCATAAGTCAACTGTCACAATCACCACAATACAAGAGATCAAGAATCCAAAGGCGACAACAAACAAAGATAAGAAACAGCATAAAGATGTCCAAAAAGATCAACTACAACAACAACAAATACCAGGATTTAGTCTTAATGCTTTATTATCCAGAATCGAAATTGTGGCGCATGGAATTTTTACTCTTCAGACGATCGCAGTTACAGCATCCGCGCAGAATCTTGAGGCACATGCTCAATTATCAAATTTCAATGTCACTTCTTTATTTTATAACCCACGAACTATAAATACTATTGACAAAGCTGAATTAGAAAATGCATCGTTAAATCGAAGCTCAATTCACCCTGGATCACGTGGAAGTGGAGGACGTAGTTCGAGTAAATTGATTTTTTCTACTGTTGGCGGAATTGAAAATATCACAATGAGTATTAAGGAGAGACTTTATTCGAGTTCAAGTAGCAACACGTTAATTTCGGTTGAATTTTCGGGAATCGGGACCAATGTCGCACTCGTGCGTCAATATTCACCACAATTAATTCAAAAGAACGATCCCAAAAGAGAATCACTGAATATTTTTGTGAAATTTCAAACGATTTCGGTTCGTGCACCTCAAAGCCTATTGAAATTGTATACATTTGTTGAAAAATGGCGTGAAGAAAATCTGCCAAGTTATGATTTCCTTTTCAAACGTTTAATGGATGAATGGGAAGAACAACGAAAAACTACCACAACTCATGCTAAAAAACAGTATCCCCATCATTCTACTCCCTACATTTCAAAAAACAAAAAAATGGAAATGAAATTTCAATTTTTATTGAAAAAATTCTCTTTTCAATCACATTTACTTCCTTCTTTACGGTTCCATTATGATGCATGGGATTTATTCTTTTTATTACATCAAAAACCGACGCTACATGACATGATTCATATGGATTATTACGGACAGTTGACCAAGCAGGAGATTCGTTTCGTGACGCGTCATCGACACAAAAACAAATCTGCTGCGGGGATACCTATTGTAGATGAATCAAATGAAGATCAGCAACAAGCTGCCTTTACGATACCTGCCATCAGGACTACGGGAATGATCCGTCCATATGAACAAAGAAAAAGTGGAATGGCTAAGAAAGCAATCTCTTCGCCAAAATATTCAAAACTCGAGGCATCGGTTACTTTGGATCTGGTCAAATTAAAATTAAATGTTAATATAATTGATCATTTACTCACAGCTCAATCGTTGCTTGGAAATGAATTGAATGACGTGTTAGACGTGTTTGCTTTCTCTTCCAAAAAATTCAAGGAACGTGGGAATGCTTCAAGAAATACACCATTGTCTTCGGCTAATTCGAGCACGTCAAAAATGAGCCAAGATCCTAACGTGAGCAGTAAGAACTTGTTATGTTCAATTAAAATTTCGCTTAGTGGATTAAGAATATCTGCCTCGAGTCCAAATGCAGTAGGATTTTTCGAGACAAATATATTGAATGGACTTATCACAAATGTTCACAGTGTTGATATAGAAAAATCAGCAAAAGTGTCATGGAAGTTCTCTGCACAGAATTTTTCATTGTCACTTAATCACAATACTGGTTCAGATTTAGTAGATGACGATGTAAGAAAATTTCGGATCGCCTATATCTTAATTGATCTTGTATTACAAAATAATGAAGATTACGATTATTATAGTAAGCCACGGGAAGCGATCTCATCATCAGAGGAAAAGGATAGCACTGAATCTTTCTTTCTCACACTGTCAAAGGTTCATGCGGTTATGCAGCCTATTGCTCTCGGACGTTTGATGGATCTTTACGTGTACTATAGCGGGGAATTAGAACGTCGAAAAGAACTCAAAGCATCGGAAATAAATCAATTATCAAAAAATACACGTGAAATCTTAAGATCTTTGGATGTTCAGATTCCAAAGTATAAAACAAAGAGTAAATCATTATTGGATGAAAAAGTTCTTTCACTTCGAATAAATAGATTTGCTGTCGCATTACCACTTGATCTACGTGAAGAAGGTATTTCTGCTGCAGCTCAACGGGCAGGTGGAACACAAATCCCAGCGTTTTTGTTTTCTACAACTTCAATGGATTTCATAACACGAAAATGGAGATCTAGTTGTGCTTCTCTTAAAGAGTTATGTTTTCAATTTGTCCCACAATTTGATCAGAGCAATGAAGAACATTTTTCTGCGCAATCTCATCCAAAGATGAATCGTATTCATTACCCAGAAATCTCGTGTGAAGTACACGCTTTAGGCACCAAAGACAAAAAACAAATCTTTATTGATTCGCGTGTCGAAGGTTTTGATGTAGATATTGGTGGAAATATTGTCAATCATATTAATAGTCTAGGGGAAATTTATGCCGCGAGCAGGGAAAGATTAGAGGCATTTACAGCTGAGGCGAATTTAGGTTCTCAATCTCAACCAAAAGGCAAAGCTAAAGCTACTACAAAATCCGCATCGTCGTCTTCTAAAGCCTCAAAAGAAAATACTCAGAGTAATTTAGTCGAATTAGAAATTAAAGCAAGCTTTACTGCAAAAAGTGGCAACTTGAAGTTGTATCCTAAAAATCATTCCACCAGACAACAATCGCTAAAGTCAAATAAATCAACGGAAAAATCGAAATCATCACGATCTCGTTCAACTTCAACACAATTTCCACCACGTCTAAATCTGGACTTTATCCCAGCGTCTTCTTACGATGAACCTTCGAAACAAGCAGAGTCTGGAATTGATATTATCACAATCCCTGGTCTAAGTCTGAATACCACATACCGAACAGTGATTGGCCAAGTTCCCGGGTCATTTCCAGATGCTTCCAGACGACGGTTGCATGTTGAGCTTGTTATACACCCAAGCGAAAATACCCTATATCCCTCACTAGTGCCTTTCATCAAAGACATCATTGATGGTCTGAAATTGGGTATTCAAAAAAGTAGTGACAAAAAAGCCATCGCGATTCAAGATAGTTCACCACCTATATACGGAATGAACATAACGTGTTATTTTAAATTATCAAGCACAACTTTTAACTTGAGTTGTCAGCCTACATCAAAAGTTTTTTGTTTTCTCAACTGGGAAGAAGGAAACTTTCTCGTGGTATCGGACAGCAGTGATGCGGATGTACAGAGTATTACGTGTTTTGGAAAAATACGAGGTGCCTCTGGTAATATACGTCACACTTATTCACCAGAAGATTGTCTAAGAACTGAAACGAAAGATATGTCATTCAATGCCACGTTAATGAGTCGTCGAACAGATACAGTTAACGATGATTCAATATCAATAATTGTAGATTTTCCTCAAATTACTGCTGATTTGAATATTCGTTATCTTCAAGATTTACTACTTCTAAAAACAATTTGGTTAGACCAAGCAACTAAATTATATGAAGAGACGGTGCAATACGAATCTCTAAAGCCAACAAATCAAGATACCTCTAATATTAGTAATAAAGAACAATCATCATATACTCATGAAGATTCCGAGAATAATACAGCAAAAGCTAAACCTTATTCAGTGTATATTCTCTTGCGCTTAAAGCAATTAGATCTATCCAGTGATTTAGGTCAAGTAATTGGTAAAGTACGCTTTAACACACAAAACATCAGAGTTCGAACTAAGCGAGTTCCGGGTGTTTTAAGAAAAGTAATAATATCCACCGATCTTCTCGACATACAATCAGAAGGACGTCTTCAAGGCTCGGCAACAATGACTGGTTTGAATTTCAGCACTTGGCTACGTGTTGCTCCTACTTATCCAACAATTGATAGCACTTCTGTGACTAAAATACTATTCGGGACCGAACAAATACGATCATCACTCGAATATGAGTATCAAAAAATATTGATAGTAGAAGTTGACCCTATGGAACTAAAAATCACTGATCAATGGAACAATGTAACCTCCGAGAAAGCTCAGGTTTTAATACATGCGGATATTATTCTTCGACGTATTCAAGCGATAGTTGCTGTAAAAACAATTCCTATTTTCATACATATGTCAGATAAACTGTTGGCATCGATTGAGGAAAAAAGACTTTATGCAGCTAATGAGATTTCAAAATACACTGCTACTGCGTCTAACAAACAAAACCAAACCACGCCTTTAACACCCGCATTCCCCTCGGCTACGACTGAAGATAATAATTCTCCAGTGTCCGAATCTAACGAGAATGAAACTCGAATCACTTTTCAAGCATTAAATATTGGAGGAATGTCGGTGCATCCAGTTGGCAAGATCACAATAGCATTGGAATTAGCTCATCTAATAGTTTTTCCTAACCATTTCTATGATTCTGACTGTGTTCAAACAAAATCTGATGTGCTCAAAATCGATATGAAATGTTCTGCTGACTCGGAGAAACAAGTTTTTCGTGAACTAGTTATGCATCTTGATGGCATCACTTTATCAAAGAATTCTTGCAAAAAGTTAAGTCACAAAGATGAGAAAGAGTTCAAGTTTCAACAGTGGTTTGATCATGTAAATTCTTCTTCATCAAAAAAAATATTTACATTACCCAGAACAAATTTGACCATGACAACCTCACAAGCAGAAAATAGTAAAATTATTGATCATAAGTTCGCTACCGATTTTGGGGGAAAAGTGGATGTGGCGCTTAATTTTGGACTGATTAGATATCTTCAAGAGCTTGTCACGTTATATAAGGAACAACTTAAGAAGCATTCGATTGGCATCGGGGAAAATCCAAAATCACCAGTTTCAACTTCAACTTCGACTTCGCCTACTAAACAGGGACCATCCCCTATATCGAGTAAAACTAATGATCATTTGACGAAGTCCGCACCTAAGGATGGAAAGATGCCAGCACATCAAAGTGTTACTGATGAATCTACTACTGCCAATACTTCTAGCGGCGCTTCAGAACAAAGGCAGCACACTTTCCGGTATAACCCACTGGAACCTGTTAAATTAGAACCACAATTACGAATTATGGGTGATGCCACACCACCATTAGAATGGGTGGGAGTGCAAAGAGCAAAAATACCCGGATTTGTTCATACAATGGTTATGATGAATCTGGATGAAGTGTTAACAATGGTCTATGATATCTACGCTAAAGAATTACAAGATTTACGAGCTAATAAACTCCATCTAAAGAGGTGATGATTATCACTTTGAAATATTGTAAAATAGTATTTATAGTTATAACTGCAATAGATGTAACGTTGTCTTATATTCGTGTAATAACAGCTGAAAATACTTAATAAAATAATCCTAATATGTAATTTCTCAAGATCGAAGTTAAAGAAAATTTTATTGTGGAAAAACTTTAAATTTGGAAAATTCATTTCATTTAATTACCTGCTTATACACGACAAAAAAATACGGTACATCGATATAAATATTTCAGAAAAGCGATATTTCCAATTTAACCAACAAATTCTCCCAAGTTGTCATTTTTATCTTTTTTCTCTTCAACCATTGGTGAATATTCTTGAAAACATATTCTTAAGCACCATTCTTGAAATATAAAATCATCTCATCCGAGATATAAATTATTCCATTTAGAATAAATGTGGGGGATGATGAAAAACGAATTATGGTGAAAATTTGCAATATCTATTATAATAAACTATGAATAACAATTATACTCATAAATTTACATAGTATTTAGCAATATAAATATTATTGCAAAATTAATTTCAAACTATTGCTCTTTTATTATAAGAAATTGTCGATAATTCTGGCCAAATGATCTCATGATCTGCACAATTTGGCCAAAAAATTCACCATAATCCGTTTTTCATCATGATCTCCACAATAAATAATTTACATCATTAGCGTTAGCGGAAATCGATATAACGAACCATAGAATGTTACGGTCCGGTCCAAACAGGCTTCAGACCGTGGACGAGTGATGGTTGGTAAGTTAGTTTAGAGAATAGATTCTAATAGTAATCAGTTAAATAATCTAAACAAGCGACCGAAGTTCGGTGACTATAAACTAATTACGTACAGGTGTCTATAGTTAATTGCAAGCATATTAATTAATTAGATATCAGCTCTACTTTTATTATTATGTCATTTATTTTATTAATCTAAAATACCCGTAATACATTTTCTTTAATTATATAGTAATATAAATCTAAATCTCCATAGACAATATAGTAAAAATTGGATTTTTCACTATATATTGAAAGTTTATTAAATATAATTGATTTCAATTTTTACTGTATTGTCTTAATATGGAGAGAAAATTTCAATTTTTACTATATTTTATTAATAATTTTTTCAGGCTGGCGTATGGTACTGTCAGTAACCCCCCCCCCCCCCTTGGACCTTAATTTAGCCTCGAGGCTATTAAATTGTACCGTGAATCTTGATTTATTCATTCACAGAAGCCTAATTGATTTCTTGACAATAAATTTCGTTGATTTCCAATACATGCTGTAATTCTTTTCGACATTTTTTTATCCATTTCTTTTTTTAATGCAATTTTAAGTTTTTGATAAAGAAGTATGTTTTCTGATTTTCCTTCTAATTCACTTCACAAATCTGGAACTTGCCTTAATCTGATTGATTACACCATTGATGATGGTATGAACAGGAATCACTAATTGATTTTATGAAAACAAAATACAGACATTATAAATTATAATGTTTAGCGCATCCTTTATGGAAATATGTCTTTTTCACTAAACTGAATCATCCACCACATGGATGCGCACTCATATATGCTTTCTTTACAAAGATACTTTATTTAATGAGAGCCGCATGAGCATGAAATTACTCTTTATTTTTTATTTTGAAGCTTGCCTTTTCATCCTATATAAGATGAAGTTAGTCTTCTTGCCAATTCTGCATTTTCTGATCGTCTTTTTTGATAGATGTTCAAATTGACGGCAAAAGAACCTATTGTAATAAGCTGCCTTCGAAGGTTCCCTTCCATTGCATTGTAAATTTTTGATGCATCATTGTGTGTAGCTCGATATTGATATTGATTAATTACTGAAGAAAAAATGCTAACTATTTTAAAAATACCCACCCGTCCACTATACTAAGAGGCCAATATCACACTCATGGAGTGATAACTGCTACATTCAAAAGCCAAGTCGAGAAATATTTTGTTAAAACAGTGATATTAAAAACAATAAATTTCTTTCGGTCTTTCTTTTTAAAGTTAGCAGTTTAATATTCTTTTCACACAATGCTCTAATACATTTTTACGCTGTTATTATCTTATCTATGTGATGATGATTGCTGCGTGATTTTTGTTAGTTGATCATCTATTCCCAACATAGTATTTTGGCGTTATCGTTATATACAGTAAAATCGGTTAGTCCGCTTTGCTTGACTTTGCTAACTCCAATTATTCCATATCAATGTTTTAAAGTTTCGGATGATTGAAAAATTTTTTGAAAATATAACAAATACGCCTAAATAGCTAGGCAAAAATAGACACGTAACAAGTTTTTTATGTGTCCATAAAAAGTTAACTAATGAATATCAAAAATATCTAACGAGAGTGAAGTAATGAACAGGTCATCGTTTTTGATGCTCAGGGAAAAAATAAAAGATAACAATAAAGAAGAAACGTTAACCTTTCCAAACTTAGAAAAATTAAAACAAAACTGTCAAAGAATTAGCCGTCAAAAAAAAAAACTTGTTTGGCCATTGTGTCCTCTGGATTTTCTCAGTTATTTATTATTGGTGGTGATTAACGGTCCAATAATATTTAATATTATAAAACATTATCGCATCAGAATGAAAAAAAGGAAGAGATTTCATTTTAGTTGATTAATATGATCAAACAGACGTTTTATTTTCGTAATCTGCTCATTTGCACTTTGTACAATGTAAATTTGAACGCAGTGACCATGTTCTCCTTTGTACGATCACCTGTTTTCCATTTTGACCAAGCAAGTCAGCCGACCTTGTCAAATATTGTTTGCTTCCATTATAGGCGACTTACAGCATCGTCATCATTAACTAACTTCCAACTAATTATGCTGTCTGTACGCGCGTAAATTGCCGTGCTACAAATATCGTTAGAACATGTATGCGCGTACGTAAATCATAGCTGCCCTCAAATAATGAGATTTTTAAGTTAATAGATTATATAATAACTCTACATGTAGTCCATAAAATGGGGCATAAAATACACAAATGGAAATATCTCCATCATTATGAGTCATTCATTCATGTTTTACAATATATTCTTTATATATTTTATTATTCGATTCATTCTATATACTAAATCAAATCAAAACCAAAAAATTGAATTCAGTCAATACAAAATACAAAATATATAAACTAAAATATTTGCCAAGTCCACTTAACCTTAACTGAACTCTACTTTGAGGTAAACAACAACAACAACAATAGTAAACCTGTATGTATGCTGTCTCAGCCTTCACCATAGAAGAAAATATATTACCCGTCCGTCGTCGTGTATGAAAGAATTGTTAAATGGACAAGAATGAATGATTTAATGTAATGATAAATGTCACAATTCATATAGAATCGGTAACGACTATTTGTGATCAATTACAGTAAAAGAGCAATTAAAAATATGAAAATAGAATGAGTGTATGGCTCATTCATTTCTGAGGGAAAAATTTTAAATAAATTTGTACACGTTGCTCATACACAACCGAAATGTTAAAACGACAAAAATAAAAGCAAACAAAAAGGAGAGAACACAAAAATGAAAACATCTCTGCTAATAGAATAAAAGAAAGAGTCGAGACCAAGATCCCGTTCTATCTTGTATAAATAGAAATGCGTAGCTTATCAACTTGGTGTAGTATTTACTCATTACATAACTGAATGATTTCATTAAAACATAACATTAATTTTTCTGGGTACCTGCTATCTGTCGACTCTTATTCAAACAATCTCATAATAACTTTTATTCTAACAATCTCATAATAACTTTTAATGCTGAAATAATAAACTCGCTTTTTCCCCTGCATTTGAAAATATGATTCAAAATATCGTAAATCATTTTTTTATTTGTAAAAATGCAAAAAAAAATAAAAAACAGATTATTTTTTATAGAGGCTTAGATTTCTTCTTTTATGATAACTTACACCCCATAAATCTTGCATTAACTAATTATGGAATTTTTGGAGGTCGTGGTAATAACGATATTCCATTCTCTCCTCTTTAGAATAAACTATCTTGTTATGCAATACGGTGAGAAGAATGTATAGTGCATGCATTAAGTAGTAGGGCAAAGAATGCAATGTGGGATTTGACGACAGCCAGGGGCTTTTTGAGTGCAGCTGTGCGCCCACTTATTACATCTTGGCTATAGATATATCAGGTAAAAAGCTTGAGAATTACTCCATTTATTACTATTACTATTATGTATGTATGCTATCAAAAACGTTTTTTTTACAGACAGACAAAACTCGATTCTGAACTAATAGCAATGAATCATTTAATTCTTTTTCTTTTAATCCAGACCTGATCCATTTAAAAAAATGTTATCATTGTACCGTACATTGCAGCATTGGGCGTAAATTTAAATTACGTGTATATCATTAGAAAAAAATGGGGGAAAAAAGTGCGACAATGACGACCAACAACGACGACGATGTAAACCAGTTTTATGTTTACGTTTTTGTTTAATCAACGATTGATGTTGTTGCTTGTTATCTTATCTTTCCTTGACGTGATGCATTTTCATTTCTTGTTCCTCTTATGACCCTTTTTTTTTGTCTTTCTTATATGGTGATGTATCTTGCAGGTCATCGCGGGAAATACATATTTTGGGGTTGCTTATACATGATCCTGATCTGTTGGATTTTAGAATAAACTGGATTGACTTCACTATCTCATCCGCTTCAATCCAAATCTAGTCTAGTTCAATTCGGTTCAACATAAACAATCTGTTTAATCCGGCTCGATCTTAGACCAATTGATTGATTGATCTATTATATATTTATTCAGGAAAAAAATCATCGATTTAAACACACCTTTTTCTTCTTAATAATAGTGAAAACATTAATTATGGACTCGTGACTCACACAGCCCCAAAAATTCGGTTTCTTAGATGTTCGATTAAGAATCTTTTGTTGGAAATCCAATTAACAATAATGTGATCAGAAATCTTTCTCATGATAAGGTTGCAATGAATCGTGACCGGTATCTCTATTCATGACGACTTAAAATATCGGAATTTAAATTGGATAGCATGAAATTTCATATAACTGGAAAGAATATTCTTAACTCAAGATGTGAAGTACATTCTTTAAAAGTTTTTCTAGATTATTTAAATATGCATCAAATAAGACTGTGATTGAATGGTTATTTCTGATATTGTTTTAATACACGAATTCAAAGAAGTAACTCATATTTTTCTGGATGCCAAGATTTAGAGCAAATCAATAAATTAAAGAATTCAAAACACTTTTTATATTTGTTCATTACTAATGATGCATTTTCATTGATGCATTTCATTGAAGCATGTGTTTTCATTGATGCATTTTTGACACAGTTTCTTATTGAATATATTAAACGTCAGTCAAACCATATAGAAATATCCATCGCGCTTAAACCCATGACTTATGTATGAGAAGTTATTATAGTTTGAAGGAAGCAATCCCCAAAATTCTCCACGAATAACATAAAACAGTGCCATTTCATCGATCATACAAATCCCTGCATAAGATCATGTTACATATCGAGAATTTACAATTACTAATAACATAAACAGCTGACTTGACAACATATGCAAATTTCATACAATTGAATTTTACATATATAGCTTTCTTTTGCGCATATCGATATGATCTAACAATTTTTCCAAGTAGAAATTTCACTCGTATCAATCATTATCGATATGAATCTGTGGCTTATGAATGAAACCTGATTACAATTCAAATCGATATGTATTTCGAAACAAGACCCTTACCATTTCTAAATAGATTTTCCAAAAATTTCAACGCATCACAGAGTAATAAGCGATTGGATCGGTAACAGTGACTGCCGTGAAATTAAAAGCACATATATTATGTTCGTATAAATACAAGACATGCCCTTCAAAAAATAATAATTAGAGACGTTTAAAATCACAAAATTTTCAAAAAAAAAATACCAAAATAGATGTCACGTAATTTATTGGAATATATTTATCAATGGCGTGAATCCAATGTATTCATACCTACGGATAATATGAATCAAGAGATTAATAATGATTTTTTAATCTCTTATCATCCGACGTTTCATTCGACGACAATCCCAGAAGTAGCAATCGTCCCTCGTCCAATAGTCATCCCTCTTCCAATACCTCCTTTGCCTCCAAATCCTGGATATGAAGAAGGTACTTGAATTTTATCTATTAATCTATTTCTATATTGAACTCTTCTCAATGTCGATGTCTATTATATAGAGGAAGAAGGAGAAGAGAGTGAAGACGGAGACGAGGACGAAGACGAGGACGAAGACGAGGACGGAGACGAGGACGGAGAAGAGAGTGAAGACGGAGACGAAGACGAAGATGAAGACGACTTTCGGGGAACGACAACTTGATCAAAGCTATAATTCTGTTCTCGCCTATTTTTTCGTATTTTGTTACAATTTCCGACTTCTGTTCTTATTATTCACTCATCATACACTATTTTCTTTTTGTTTGTAATTCGTTCTGTTCATATTTCCGATTTACTTTCTTCCGTACATAAATTTTAATAATAATTGGATAAGACTACACTGTAAGCATTCGAAAATAATAATAATAATAATAATAATAATAATAATAGTAATAATAATAATAATAATAATAATAATAATGAGTATATGTACACTTTAGCAATAGAAACTAATAATAATAAACACTTTAGTAATAGAAAATAGAGTATATGTAATTCTAAATAGGTTTCAAATGTTGGGTACTACACTATATATAAATAATAATAATAATAATAATAATAGTGATGAGATTTATTGACCCTAGGATTATAATATTATCGGTCATGAGGCAAAACAAAAAAGCATTTAATAACCGAAAAAAACTGCGTAAAATATAAGATATCCCACCACGTATATGCATTTCCCTTTTTAGATCACAAGAAGAAGGTGGGCCTGAAACTCCGTTTTACTTTGTATTATCAGATGCAAAAAAAACCATCGAAAATAATTCATGTGATGTTTATTTATTCATTAATAATTGTCTTTTTTAGGAAATTTAACAAACTAGGGAACAATGAGCCGCACGTGTGTTTATTGATGTCATTCATTAATATGCAATGTGTCGTACGCAATTTAATTTTTATCTAATTAATCTTCATAGAGCTGTAAGGATATCAATTCATACTTTAATTATAAAGATAAATTGAGAATAAACAAACTCGTTATATTCAGATTATCTGTGTATAATTACAACCCGCAACAAATAGGCTATAGTGCCGCTATTAAATTTCAAATACATCTAAATATGTATCCACGCACTCTTCGGCAAATGACATATTTTGCCGGTAAAACAAAGTTTATCAGTATTGGCGTGTAAGATTTCATATACATATGGTGCATAAAATCTAAAGTCATCAAACGTTTGTATTTTATGAAATGGATTTACTTCTTAACTAATAAGAAGTAAATACAAAATTTAATCCATGAATATGCTTAGAAAGGACCTATTCTATCATATTCACGGATTAAATTTTGTATTTACTTCTTATTAGTTAAGAAGTAAATCCATTTCATAAAATACAAACGTTTGATGACTTTAGATTTTATGCACCATATTGAAATATAATTACATTTTAAGTTCTAAAAATATTTTTATTATGTCAAAGCGAACCCATAACTAAAGTAACTTTGGTATGATATTACTCCACTAAATTAGAATCTCACACACACTCTTTTAAACACTCCTAAATGAATTTTATAGTACCAGTTCTAAGAGTATGCATTAAGAGAAATCTAGAATACACTTGGCGCTGGCACTATAAATTTTATTTAAGAATGTGACTTTATGGAGGTTAGACTATATATAAGAGTAAAACTAAGCAATCGATAAAAATCTATTGAATATTTCATAATTCAACAAATACATGATGTTTGATTTTAACAGCTCAATTGCAATTCTATTACAATAAATATCGAGAAAATGAATATTTTGTTCATCTAGTGTTTGAACCTATTCTCTAAATGGTCACTCTATGATGCACACTTGTACCCGGTTTGTGATTTCATATTCCAAATGTATGGCTTGGATCTATGTATATGACACAACAATTATCATAACAGCTGCAACTATGTGTGTGTTAACAGTGGTCCTGCTACTAAATTCAGTGCTACATATTACCACTATTAGCGGAATATTCTATAAAATAAGTCAGAAATAGAACAGTAAGAAAATATCTCTGATACTTTTTTATCTCGAAAAAGCTATAATCAAAAATAAATAATTTCGTGCTTTTTGCTATTAAAATTATACATGTAAAAGGAAAAAAATATTTAGTATGTGCTGATGAGATAAAGACGGATTGAAAAGATAGTTATAAAAATCGTCCTTATTATCAAGAATAGCTTATTTTCTCACACACTGAATGAATGAATATCAACATTATTTCATTTTTGCTATTATTTACGTTTATATTAGTGTTATTAATTTGTGACTCTTTATATTTTAAAGTCAATAATGATTATTAACTTGCATGATTTCTTATATAAGGAACAATCAAAATTGGCTTATCAAAATGTGCCTCAATTACGAGTTTGCTTCAGTATAATAATTGATTTATCGCTGTTAGCTAAATGATTTTAAAATAGGGTGATATCTAGATTGGGGGTACTCTTCAGAGTAAGAGAATCTTGCAAAGCGATTCGATTCGGTTTGGTTTGGTTTGGTTAGTTTAGTTTAGTTTACTATTAATGGAATTGACTTAGTTCTTTGAACTCGATTCTAGATAAGATTGGTGTCAAGCTCAATTGCAATAATGTTAAATACTTAATATCAAACCTAAGTACAAACAAATTCCTTATATGAATTCTTTGATTTTCCTTACTTTCCTTATCGCAAAAACTTTAAAAAATGAATTCGTTTATTCTGGTTGCATTTTAATTTGTGTCATTCAGCAAAGTGATTTCATCTTTTACACTCTATTTCAAACTCTTTTCCGTCATTTCTGTTATTATTATTGTAATATATTTGGTGTCAGTTCCCCTGCCTCTTTTGATCTTCTCGGCGTTTCTTTCTACCTTTCTATCAAAACAAAGTTCTACTTATCATGTTGTCCTCTCATCCTGCTGTGCAATTAATCATAGAGATTTGATTTGTGAGAGAGTGTGTGTGTTTGTATGTATCATCGTGTTCAATCAAAATGATTTATTTTTTTCTGATAGATAATCTCGGTTGTAAAGTTCACTTCTTTTGATTATTATTAATATTATTCTTTAATACTTACTATTGTCATTATTTATATTGTGTATTTCGGCGTTTTTGTTTCGTTGTTGTTGTTGCAAAGTCCGTCAAATATGATCTTCGGTTAGAGCGCAAAAAGAGAAAAAGAAAGAAAAAGAAAACGATAGATTTGCATATTTTGATTGATTTACGAGGAAAATGGTATAAAATAAATACAGAATATGTGATTCGAAAGGCGTTTTCCTCGACTACTGCAACTATTATTGGCGTCATTTTCCTAAATAAATCAAACTATAGACTTGGTTCTTTTTCAACCAGTAAAAATTAAACGCCAAACAAACTATTCAGGAGGTATTAAAAGGTATGTAGTAAATCACCTCAAGATAAGGAAGTAAACAATTCTTTTTATGTCGGCTGACAACTTTCTTAAACATCTTCTATGTTTGGTTATGGATCATCAATGGCGGTGCTGTTGTGTGTCGAATATACTGGTTGGATAGATGTAACATAAACAATTCTTGTGCGCACAATTGAAAGGTATCTCTCGGTAAAGATACCGTTTGTGGTAATGGATTGACTTACAATCGGGATTTATTTACCATCGCTATATAGAAGAGATTCTCGATGATTGCTAATGAGAATTTGGAGAACAGTGATAAAGTGAGATGAAGATGAGAGAGAAAATTGATGCACTAGTTATAGCAATGGCAATGGCTGAAAATAAACGTGAGTGAAAATTATAATACTTTATGTGTATCGATATTATCAAATAAACAAATTGATAATTTTATAATTTCATTTATAATTCTGAATTTCATGTAGATTATTTCTACCGAAAAGATTTATTTATTAGAATGAGAGTCTTGTACGGAAACAAAATGAAATCAAATAAATGTATTTCGAATTATAATGTTCAAACATGTATTCAAAAATTGTGTTTATTTTAAACTTAATTTAATAACAAATTATAACAATAACAAATATATTGTTTAATTTAAAAACTAAATGATCATTTTAATAATTGGATACTTCAAGGATTCAATAACAAAATTCTTTAGTTTTTAAAACTGCTCGCTGAATTCAATATATACTAAAACTTATATATTTTACAATTATCTTTTGTAAAAATGAAATTATAATATATTTTATTTGAAATTTTTACTAACTTATAAAATATTTTTAAAATTTAGAATTTATAATATTAAATTTTTTTGCTGATTATTTAATTATAATTTTGGCCAAAATAAAATTAGGAATTAAATTATTACTGATATGTGGCAAAATTTTTTGGCCAGTACTTTAGTAAATATTATATATATTTAATTATAATTTGAATCAGAATTATGATTAATGCTAGTAAAAATTAAAAAATAAATTGCTGTGAATAGGTTAACAAAAATTTTTTATATTGAATATTATGTGTATTTGTTATATTAATATAGTTATATATTACTTTATTGATTAATAAAAATAGTGCTAAATTAAAAAATTACTAACAAAATAAATCAACTTTAAATTAAAACAACTTTGTAAGAAAATGAAATGATTTTAATATTTTTTTATAATTTTATTTTTTTGGTCTATTAACTATTAAACTATGAAAAGTTTTACCAAATATATATAATATTATTTTTAGTTATTACTTTTTAAAAATTATCAGTTTTTGGTGATATGACTAGATATTCTGCATTATAATAGATAAATTATTTATAGTTTCTTGATTTTTTATAATTTAAATTTATAATTAATTATAATATTTTAATAATTTGAATTTATTTATATTATAATTAAATTTTTTAATAAGTTATAATATATATATAATTAAAATCTATTTTTACCAAATATTTATTTAAATATTTATTATAAAGTATATATTTTCTGTAATTATTACTAAAGTTATTTATAAATTGATTTACAAGTTCAACAAATTAATATAAAATATAATTATAAAATAATTTTATAAATTAATTGAATTCAGAATTATTTTAGTATTATAATATATTACAATATAATTATAGTATAATAAAATTTCAAATAAAATTATCTTTTTTAAATTTATTAAATTTTATTTTTTAATTAATTGTTTTTTTTTTAAATTATAATTTTTTTCTTTTTATATTTTCAAAAATATTAATAAAATAAATTATAAAAAATTTTTTTTTAATATTTTAATTATATAATAATTGATTTTATAATTACCAATAAAATATATCTGTTTATTTTCATGCACTTTTTTTTTAGCTAAAATTTTAAATATTAAATTTATAACAAAAGTGAGAATAATATAATTATGTTATTCTTACTTGATTTAGATTATATATGTATCAAGAATTATATATTATAACATATATCAAGATATTATAATTCATTTTTTTAATATATAAAAAATATATATTTAATATTTGAATAAATATTATGATTCAAATTTCTTGATATATGTGAACTAATATATATTAGATTGATGATCCTAATTAATTTTTATTATCAAGTTACATGTGATATATTATGTATCAGATTAGTGATTCTAACTAATCTAAAATCTAAGGTACTTCCTGATTTAGAATATAATAATTCCTACATAACTAATCTATATAATATTTAAATGATAATTATATTTAATTTTGAATTTAAAGTGCTTTCTGATATAAATTATACAATTAGGTTGGCTTCATCATGAGATTGATAAATTAATTATATTTTACACATCATTTGTAAATCTAATGTGAGAGCTATATTCAAATTCTATGAGATCCAGGTTTGAGACACATAGTATTGAAAGAATATTCATGATCTTTATGTGATGTATTCAAATACTGATCAAGAATGAGACATGTAGTGTCAAATTATTATTTGTTATATTGCACTCAAATATCAATTAAAGTTAAGACACATAGTACTGAATTGTTATCTGTTATAATTTATTTAAATATCA